CACCTAGACAAAGGTTTCCTAACTGATGGCTGTCCCAACTGTATTTTTTGCCTTCCCCTTTTGACTTTCCCATAGTACATTTCAACACTCTAATGCCAGGCTACTTTTGATAATGCACAGAGCTGACTATCATGTCTTCTTGCTCAAAACTACATTGGTTTCCAAATAAATTCCAAACTCAATGTTGAGGCAATCATCTCACCATCAACCATTTCCAGTCTTATTTTGACTGCTCTGCCTGCCCCTTGAGATCTAAAATTCAGCCACGTAGGCTGTTCAAAGCTCTGTGCCAAAGGACTAGCACTTTTCTGAGCTATGTTTATATATAGGCTGTCCCTTCACCTAGAATCACCTTCTCTTCTTTCCTACTCATACCAACTAATGAAGCTTTCCTTCCCACCAAGAACGGATTTAATCTTCCCTGGGCCTCCCGGAACAGTTTGTTATTCCCTCCAGCAAAAAAGATCATAGACACTGGTGGCCCTGTGGCTTTCCTGTCCTAGACTGTAAGCTCCCTGAGAGCAGAGATCTTGCTTGTTTACTGTTTTGTATCTACTGAGCTAGAGCATTGGGCAAGTTTCTGGCGCCTGGAAGGAGTACAATAAATATCAGTGGAACCAAAATGTTCCTGGAAGCTGAGGAACAGCCTGGGTGACTCCTGAAATGTCCCTACAGCCACGACACCGCTCACTGACTCCATTGGTACCTAGCTTGTGTCTCAATCCTACCCAAATCTGCTTAGTAATGCAGCTCTACTGCAATACCCAGATGTCTATGGGCAACATCAGGGTTCATCATCCTAGAAGCAAGAGGGACCCCCTCTTCAGAACGCTTTTCCAAGAGTAAACCTAATGAGAATATGTCATCCTCCACCCAAGAAAATGGGCTGTAGGCTAAAGTTAAGCTATTCTAATAACACTTAATCTAATAAAAAAAAAAAAAAAAAAGCAACAGAGACCTCATAGTACAACATAGAAGAGGCACCTGGACTTGAACCCTGGCTTTGCCTCTTGCCCTACTAGTGGATCCCAGGCAAGTATTGAACCCTGCTGAGTTTTGGTTTCTTCATAAGTAAAATACAAATATTGGAGCTAGAGCTGTATTGTGGGTGGTGCCTATTAGACTTTTGATCGGCGTTACATGGTTCCTTTCCTCTCCAAAGTGAGCGCAGGGGCTGGGTCACCTCAGAAGGAAGGAGCCCAGACCCTGGAGTTAAACCTGGGGACAATGACATCTTCTTCACCTCAGTTCTTTCTCCAAAAACTGGAGACAGCAAAAACTACTTGTTGTGAAAATATGCTGGATGTTCCTCTTACCCAAGCACAGAGCTTAAAATCTATGGTTTCAACTGCATTTGTGATTATTTGGGGGAGGGCCAGCACGGATACACCCAGCCCGTGTGAGTCCTTTGAAGACCAGCACTACACGACTGGGTTCAGGTCTGAGGTTTATTCTGCTCAATGAACATGGAACAAAGAAAAGCTAACTGACTCTTGCAGGAGCGCATAGGTTACTAGTGTTTGACATGTGGCAGGGTGGTTCCAAATCGCCTGGCACCAAATTAATGATAAAACCAAGAAATGATGTGCTGATTAGGAGTCGATTGAGGTCACACGATGTGCACATCATTTTATGGACAGAACAAGGGGCACTGTCACCAGAGGCCAATGGGAGATCGCTTCTGTAGAAAGGCGTACTGTCAGGTATTAATAGTAGCAAAGGGGTGAGTCATGGTTGTCTCTTCTCTTCCCTTCCTGGGAAAAGACAAGTGTGGTGGGCTTCCTACAGGCCCGAGTCCATGACCCCCTAGCCCACTGGGGGAGGCTGACCCAGGTGCCATGCCCTTGTCTGGGGAAGTTGTCAGCCCAATTTGCTAAAACTCTTTACCGCTGATCTTCCTCATCTTAGGCCTCCGAAGAATAATGTACATAAGTGTAAAGGATGATGCAAGCTGCTCGGGAACGTATCAGGAGCGTAGCATTGTCAGCAGAGGTTCAGATTTTGAAACAGGAAAATCAATTCTTCTCATCTGAGGCCAGAATGACAGTTTTTGTTGAAGGGAGAGATGATTTACTTGGCCCTCCCGAAGGTCCCACTGTGTCCTTTGATTTCAGTGACTCTTTTTTGTTTTGTTTTATGTCATCTTTCACAGTGACTCAGCACAAAACAGGTAAGAGAATGGTGACCCGGATGTGTACCTAAAAGATGTATGTTTTCCTGTCTGGAGACACATGGATTTTATGAGTTTCTGGTACCTGGAAATTGACCAGAAAATAGTAAAACACATTTTATACCTAAGGGATACCCGCTGTTCCTCTTGGTACTATGACATCTCTCTCTTTCATGTCCTAGATCTCATAGCAAAGTGCCTTGGGGGAGGGAAGCAATAATAACACGACCTGTGATCCAAAATGAACACGCAAGCCCAGATCACTTTCCCAAATGTCCATGATTTCAGAACATAAATGCAGGCACGCCCTTAAACGAAGCCTGGAATGGAGCACCCTGGCCAGCTTCCTGCATCTCACGGAGTCCAAGTGGGCTGGGTGAGGGCCGAGATCAAAGGCACGCAGAGGCCGGACAGGGGGCCAGGAGGGCCTGGCACCTGCAGGGCTGCTGGAAAGGCGCCAGCCCCACCACACCAAGCGAAAGCAAACCGAAAGTGCATGGGAGCCCGTAATCAAACGCACATGGCATTGCTCCTCACAAAGTGTGTTTGTTTCCCGAGGAGCAATTTCCAGGTCTTCAAGCGCATATGGCTCCGGAGCAAAATCAGAATGTCCGCCTTTCGGACCCAGAGACCGAAAAGCTTTGGCTTCTACTGAAAGGAGACAGGCCCCATCTCCTCTCGGTCACGGTCTTCGCCAGATCCCTGCCCTCTTACCCTTCTATATCCTCTCACCTACATGACTTTGTTTCTAAGTAAACCGAGGTTTGTCCAGTTTGGGGGAGTTCTCTCTGGAACAGCAAGTGTTCTGGGTCCTGTTGTTTGTGGTGCCTTAGGTGGGAGGTGGCCCAGTCAGTTCCCTCCTTATCTGCTCGCCATCCTCTGATGAGGAGCAGACAAAACCACTCCTCTGCTGCTAGGGAGACTGCCCACAAAAAGCAACAAATGCCATTTTCTCCATTAACCCTTCTCTTTCTTCACTCCTCTTATTACAGGGTTCAGGGAAAGAGGCTCACTTACCGTCCCACTCCCCATCCCCCACACATGTCCCAAAGCCCGCACCCACCTAGAAGTACAGAAGGGGAATGATAAAATCTCTTCTGCAGGCCCCAGGTATTACAGAGGGACAGTAACAGGAAGGCGCTTTGGAAAAGGGAAAAACCTGGAAAAATGAAAGCCTGGAAAGAGAATAGAAAGAGAGAAAAACAAAGAAGAACATTCTTTTCAAACTTGGTTCTCTTTTTAAAAAAAAAAAAAATATGTACAGCAGCACAGAAGAGATTTCCTCTCGCCAATTTTTTTTCCGGTCCCTTAACTGTGTGTGAGCCTGAGTACTTTGTTCACGGTCCCTAGGGCCGTCATTTGCATCTCCCTCTCTGGGTTGCTGCTGGCCAGGGCTGGCAGCTGTCTCAGTTCCACTCTGGCTGGGAAAGGTAAGGATCTTTGCCTTGCTCTTTGAAAGCTCTGGGGGAGAACTGTTGAATGCCTAGGGAGGGGTGGAGAGAGGGGGTTAGAGATGGGATGCGTTGATTGGAAACTTTCTGAGACGTTTTCTGAATGTAAAGGAATCTCCTGGAGCCCTGAGCTTTAAAAAGAGCCCAAAGCTTTGCTCTCCCTTCTGAAAGCAGGCTTGCAGGGAGAAGGCTAGCTGTATTATGGATGAGGTTTTGCACTGGGGGCAGGTGTCCCTTTAGAAGTTCCCAGGAGTGTGTGATATCGTATTGGCACAGAGTAGAAAAAAGGGGCGGGGGTGCATTCAAAGGCATCAGGCGCCGATCACTAGGAATTGGCTTTGAATTTCCAGCTGAAGAGGTAAAAGACCGTTAAAACTGCATGTGTGTCCGCGCTAGAGTGGTACTGCTTATTCTTCAGGTACCGTTTCTGCTTGATCCCAAGGCTTCTGACTTGTGTGGGTTTATCACTGCAAATCCCCAATTATCTACTTAGGCTCTGGAGATGGGCAGCTGTGAGTCTAGGCAGGAGAAGGAGGGGGAATATGACACCTGAAGTCTAAGAGGCTGAAGAAAGCTCTGCTGTTAGAAGTAATGACAGACCTGCCCACAGGCTCCGGGGCGCAGGGTACACTCACTGCCCCTCCTTGTAGACTGGCCATAGGCTCTCGGAGGAGGGGGGTGCGGGGGGGGGGGAGCTGTCTCTGGCTTCTCTCTGGGTGATTCATGTACCTTTGACTTTGGTAATGGGGCAACGGGAGCTTCCGCAGGATAAGGTGATATTCTGACCTTCAGTGGGGTTATCGCTCTGTTGAGGGGAAGGCAGCCCATGCTAGGAAGTAGACAGGAATTGCCCCCAAAGGCCAGTTTGCAGTGGGCAGACTGCTGCTCTTATAAGAGAGTCTGAAGAATCTCCAATTTATGTAGCCAGTGACCCCCCCGCCCCTCCTCAACCCCCATCCCCGAATCACCATCTTCCCAGAACAATGATGGCCAGTGCTGACATGGCTGGCTCTAAGTATTCCTTATCTTCAGCACCACGTGACAGCCTCTTCCCGGGTGAGGATGGGGGCAGCTGAGGCCCTTGAAGGACTCATCCTCCCCAGCAGGTTGGGATCCCTGCCCTCAGCCTCTTCAGGGACTTGTCAATTTTATGCTTCAAAATGAAGAAGCCCAAGCCCTCTCTGGCTCCGTTCTAGAGAGAAAAGACCGCTGGTCCCTCCCCCTTTATGACAAGATCGTCCAGGTATTGTTGCTGGATGAGGCTGGAAGGAGCAGGCTCTCACAGGACAGAGGTGAGATGCCTGTGCGTACCCAAGCCCTCTGCCAGCAGTCAGAGAGATCTAACATCGGAGATTTGAAAAAAAGCGGGGGGGTGGGGGGATCTTTTCTGAGATTTAATCTAGGTGTATAGATTTGCTGGGTTTATTAAAAAGAAGTTATTGAAACTTGTATAGATTAAAAAATAAAGGATGGATAACTTTTAGCGGTACAAGTATAGGGACCAGCTTATAAGAGTCTCCCAGTATTATCCATTTTTCCCCCTCAAAATGATAACGTGGGACTTTAAGATTGAAACAGCTTATCTAATAAAGTATAAACCGATAAGGCCATTTAGGGAGAGGGGTGGGAAGTGGGTCTTTAACTTTATTGTTTGAGAGGGTGACGTGTTAATGCCTGAGGTGTCTGAATGTGAAAAGACCTTGCTCCTTAAAGGAGCCGCACATCCTCACAGGGCAGGACCTTGTGACAGACCCATGAATCAGAATCTACATTTAACACCCCCCCCCACCCCCTTGTGATTTTTATCCTCATTAAAGACTAGGGTTCGAGCCAAGGAGGTCTCTCTTTCTGTGTGACCTTTGTCAGATTACTTACCCTCTCTGGGCTTCATTTATAAACTATCGAAAAACTCAGTTATGAACTCACTGGTAAACCAGGGAGCATTCATGTTCATGCAGACACACTGCGCGTGCCCAGCCCATAGGAGAAGCTCTGCAAGTGACAATGATGATAATTTCAACACGGCCAAAGTGACCTCCTCCCAGAGGTAATAAGTCATCATCTGTAGACCAAGATGGCTACTTTTCCCTCTTAGGGCAAACATCTGAATCTTCCTCCTCCTTTCTCAGTGAATTAACAACCATCAAGAGGGTTTAAGCTTCCGATGGCCCGCACACGCAAGTCAAGAAAGGATACTGGGGAAGCCTAGGAACACAGACTGTTTTTGCTGGCTGACAGGCTGAATTCAGCTGCCTGAGGACTTCGCAGCTGCTCCTGCCACCCTAAAGGCTCTGTCCCCGGGGCTCTGTCCCCTCCATTGGGTCTGCAAAGCGGACTCAGGGATTTTCTTATGAAAATGCCTGAAGCGCCCAAGGCAGGTCTGGGGGTTGGCTGGGGAAAACATGAGTAATGCAGAGCAGTCTACTGAGTCAGTGCTGCCAGAGAAATAAAGTAAAAGCTGGCTCCTGTCTCCAGGGACTCGGAACGATTCGGACTTATCATGTCACTGGGGGGGGGGGGGGGGGGGAGCCAAAACTCAGAATCCGCTGGCAAGGAAAAGAAAGAAGTGGGGGGGGGGAAATGACAGGGAGGGGCCATCAGAGGGGGAGGTGATAAAAGGAGAGAGAGGGAAAGACAAGCGTCATTTAGGAACAGAGGTAGAGGGAAAGAGCGAGCTCCAGGATCCGAAACTGACCATATCACTCAGGATTTTCGTGTCTTTCCTTTTTCCCCAGAGGAGGTTAATTTCATTGACGGACATGCTGTTACGGGCTCTTTTCCCGGAAGTTGACCAGAAGAAGCTGAGGCTCTGAGGTTTCTCCCCGCCTCCCCAGCCAAGCGGAGTGGCTCCCCTGGTAATGGACTGCTTCTCCCTGAGAAACGCGTAAGTAGTTTGGGGACAGACCTTCCTTTTCGGATTAGGTTACAGCTCAGCTTTGGGGTGAAGATTTTTTCTTTCAGACATAATCTCAAAAATCCTCTTACTGGCTCAGCCAATGTTTGGGTGTCGTTGGACAGCAGGGATTAATTGGGTGACTAAAATTTTTATGCAAATAGATAGCTCTCATATATTTAGCTTCATTGCTCAGGGTTTGATTTGAGCTTGAATTTGTTCTCAGTGGAAGCTTAATATCCCCCAAGTAGTAATCGTTGAAAGAGCCTCCCTAATCTTCGTTTGAACGGCATAACTTAGCTCCTGGATGGCTTCTGAGGGACAAAAAAAATAAAAAATAAAAAAAATGGCTTAACATGTCCTAGCGGCAGTTAAGAGTTTACACGGATTTCTCATAGACGGCATTTCAGCCAGGTGCCTTTGATGGAGTCTCGGGTTTTGTGCAGAAATGTTCAGATTCAAAATATTTACAGACGCGCATCGCAGAAAGTCTTGTATCTAAGAGCATGGGGACAAAATGAACTTGTAAAACTTTCCTGAAAACCTAGCTTTTTCCCCCCCCAACATGTCACGGCACACATAATATCAACAATCCTGGTAGTTGAGTGGAAAATTTGAAAAGTACTCTAATAGTCGATCCTATTTTTAATGTGCAAAAGTGTCCCATGATAGCCTCCAAAATTGCTGATTCTCTTTCTTCGTTTTTCTTCTTCCATTCCGTTCACATGGGTTGGAGGATATCGCCACATGGGACATCCACACATCTTAGCCTCATTGTCACTGAATTTTTACTGAGCCGCATCCTCACCCAAGTCCCAGGACACCTGGTGCCCTGGGCTTAGTAGTCAGACCATAAAGACTGGCCGACTGTCTGGCTGATGTAGAAGAGCCTCATTGGTACGCTGGCTCCTGGTCTTGACGTTGGTTCAATGGGCAGTGAATGGGTGAGAGTTTGGAAAGAATGCATGTCATGCTCGGAAACGTTGGCAGCGTCTAAGTTGCTGTGAGTCGTGGAAAGAATGGTGCGAAGTATTGTTTATAAAGCAGCCTCCTTGAACAAGGTCTTTGGATTCGGATTGAGGCTCTCCGGTGTGCTGAGAGGAAAGAGAGGCAATAGGCAAGGAGGAAAGGCTAGTAAAACATTTGCAGACCGCCAGGGTCTATTAAACACTGCAAAGTGCTTCCTGCTGTTTACATCTCCGTTTCTTTACGGTGATCCGCGTCATCTTGCTTTTTGCCCGATGCCAACAAAATGCAAAGGATTAGAAACAGAAATGTGGGTTTATTTTCACGTGCATTTTTCCCCTTCAGAACAGGACACAGCGGTGTCTCCGCAGCTCTGTCCTGTTCCTTGCAGGGGTCACTCATGCATTTAGCTGACATCTGTCTTCTCCTCCACAGTCTCCACGCTGGCGAGAGCCCCCGGGTCTAGTCTGTGAACTCAGCTAGGAAACACACCGCTGTGAAAATGACGGAGGAGCCCGTCAAGGAGATCCCGAGAACCCCAACGTCTCCCACGCCAGGGACAATGGAGAAGAGCCCCAAGAGAGAAGTCGTGGTCACCACGGTCCCCGTGGTCAGTGAGATTCAGCTGATGGCCGCCACCGGGGGCACTGAGCTCTCCTGTTACCGCTGCATCATCCCCTTCGCCGTGGTGATCCTCATCACCGGGACAGTGGTCACTGCCGTGGCTTACAGCTTCAATTCGCACGGCTCCATCATCTCCATCTTGGGCCTGATCCTTCTCTCCTCGGGACTTTTTTTGTTGGCCTCCAGCGCCTTGTGCTGGAAGCTGAGGCAGAGGAACAAGAAAGGCAAGAGACGGGAGAGTCAGACAGCTCTCATGGCAAATCGGAGAAGCTTGTTTGCTTAGGACTGAAGGAGGCCAAGGGAGGCCTGAGGCCTGCACATCCTGCCTTTCTGCGTCAGCCCATTCACCCGCACTCCTGTGGGAGCGGTCGGACTTGGCACGGAGCGGACTAGGGGAATGGGAGTGGATGGAGCGGGTGGGGGGGCAGGGCCTCATGTGTGAGAAATGACTTGTATCTTCTTTCATGACAAACTTAACTCTAAGGGCTATTTCTCAGATTGCAAAATCAGCTTTTTCTCCACGTTAGACCTTGTCGGGGTCATGGGAGGTGTGCAGCATTAGGCAACATTTGGTTCACCTCGGAAAGGAGCCAAGAAAAGACGAGAAAACACTTGGATGGTTCTGGTACACCAGTGACCCGCCTCCACATGAAATAACCCACAGGCGTAAGAAGCTGTATCATAAAAACGTTCTGCCAAGAGTCTCCATGGCCTGGGACTTGGCATACTTCTATGAAATTCTATGATAACTTCTTTTTTTCAATCAGTTGATTGTCTGGCAACTGTTTTATTTTTTACTTTCAGTAACTCATGACTGACTGGTGGTACTTTCTCTTGAAGAATAAACTAATATTTTTTATGTTTTAACATTGGACAATTTTAGATGATTGTAATGATGTATCAAAAGTCAAAAAGAGGTGAAGTGTATAACTACTAGATAACATAGGAGAGGGGATTAAATTAATATTAAAATAATCCAATATAGCACTTTTGATGATTTTTATATAAAAGTTTAATGTACATTTCATTCGAAATAATAAATACTCATTGCTGCTGACACTTCTTAAATGGCTTTTTCTGTTGCAGTTATTTTATTACAGTTCCAAATTGCCCGTCTTCCCTTGCCTCATCTACAAGTGTCTCAACTGTATTTCTCACAAATGGGCATGTTGCTTCCTTCTAACTTAACTAGAAGATTTTTATTGTACCTTATTATTGTAATTTAATCCTTAACCAAGGATACCCTTTTTTATTGATTTGAGAGAGAGAGGAAAGAAGAGGGAGAGAGAGAAACATCAATCGGTTGCCTCCTGTAAGCGCCCCAACTGGAGATCGAACCCACACCCGAGGCATGTGCCCTGACTGGGAGTAGAACCTGCAACACTTTGGTGTATGGGACAATGCTCCAACCTACTGGGAAACCCAGCCAAGGCAAAGATTTTAATTTTTTATATATGATGTTTTTCAGGACTCCTATAGAAAACTGTTAATTATTCTTACTGGATATTAAAGGATTTTTATGCCATTATAATTAGGAAATCAATGCCTGGAGTTTTATAATATGTTGTTACATGTGTGTTACATATTTATTGGAGAATCAGCCATTAACTATTTGCTTACAATATTTTTGAGCACCAACTATGTGCCAAGCATTGTATAGATTCTTGGGCTGCTTCACTGTGGTAGTTCTAGGTTACTGCTTCAATTCTGTGAACATCGAGCTATTCCACACACGGCTAGGACTTGACCCCATAACTCTGGCCAGAAATATTCCTGGTCCATGTAGTTTAAACCACATGTAACTAAACAGGTATAAAGCCTTTTTATAAAACCTTGGAAAAACAAGGCCGGGCAAAACACACCTAGCATAGCCCTCTGGATGAAAGGCGTTCTATCAAGGAATTGAGTTCAACATGGCAGGCACCTCTGGGTCTGACCGCTCCCTGGCACTTGGTAGTTTTGCTAAGGGAGATGATTTGATGGCTTAGTTACTCCTGGCTTTGAAGGTCACATGGTAGAAAGAGTCTGGAGCTGTTGATTACAGGAGAGCAGAGAACGATGATCTTAAACACATGGAAACCAACACTCCTCTGGATGAAATACAAGAGGATGGCACATTGTGTTTGTTTCGGTGGACAGGAGTCTATCCTTCGACATGCATCTTTTCTGCTCTAAGATATTCAAAGACTCCCAACTGCTTGATGAAGAAATTTCTCGGGCAAGTGTTCAAGGTTCTCCAGGGTCTGATCCAAACAGATGTATCCAGCTTTCACTCTCCCTGCAACCCGAAAACTCCTTACGAGTTTAGTCAGACCAGACTAGTCACGCTTCCTGGATTGGGTTTCGGTTTTTCTTGATGTCTGTTCAAACTTCTGTGTTTCCTCCTCCAGATGCCATCTTTTCCCTCTCCATCCCAATAGATCCAATCCTGTTTCTCACTAGAGCCCCAGCTGAAATACCACCTCTTCCTAGAAGCCTTCTCTTTCATCCAAAAGTAACTGCTCCTTCAAAAGTCTATTTGCTCATTCTCTGAGGGCACTTCCATTTCTACCATGTTGGTGGCATAAAAGTTTTATCCTCATCCAAAGCTCCTTAGAAGTGTATGGTGTGTCTTTATTTTATTTTTTTTTACCCCATGTGATGTCTATTAAAATATCTTGCATGGAGTAGGTACTCAGTAGTGTTTGCTAAATGAACTATTGAATGAAAAATCAGAAAGTGAGTGGTTTTTCCAGAATTACAGTCCATTTGTTTTCACTTCTTAAAAGAAAATATTTTAGTTCCAACTCTCCCCATAGAGGTCATCCTGCTCTGCCCGGCCTCCCTGTCAGCACCAGGTCTAGGTGAGTCTTCACTACCTTGTCCTTCTCCAGTCACACCTGCCCTTCAATGCCTGAGAAGGAAACTCAGGAATTATTTCAGGCCACCAGGGGGCCTCATGCTGCTATCTGAGTCCCAAAAGAAACACCATGGAATGGCTGAAATTGTAATGACTCAGAATTGGAATTCTGTCTGGAGACAGACACATCTCTGATGGATGTGAGAACTCAGTGAAGAGTCTCCATTGAACCCATTCCTACCCCCCTCTCTAATCCACTTCACAGTGGCTATTTCTGGGTTCTCCTGGGAAGTATGGGAAGGATTTGCCCTGTCTAGGGAGCTTTGGTCACATTAAAGGGAACACACCTCTGCAAAGAAATAGTCCTATGCACAGAGATAGTCCTAATCCATCCCAGACTTAAATTGTGATATCACAATTATCTCATAACATGCGTCTTTATTGGGCAATGTTTGTCTTTACAAATGATTTTGTTATATATCAATAAGCAGATGTTCAATGCACTCATAAGCATGATGCAGGCATGTATGTATTAAATGATAATTTGGCCCCATCCTGGAGAATCAGAAATTAGCTCTATCAACTAGCTAGATTTCCCCCAAACCCACATATCCCAGAATGCACAGGAACAACGTTTAATCTCATCCATGGAGCAGGTCTCTGTCCAGGTGAGAACCATAGCCACACAGAAGAACCTGCTCTTCCCACCTCACTGTCTTAATTAATTTAGGGAGTCTTGCCTAGAGAAGGTGATCAAAGTCAAGTGGATTGTATGGGTGGTCATGCTCAGGAGAGTCAGATCATAAATCCTCACACTTACTTCTTTGTACCAGAGAGAGAGAGAGAGAGAGAGAGAGAGAGAGAGAGAGGAGGGGAGGGGAGGGGAGGGGAGGGGAGGGGAGGGGAGGGGAGGGGAGGGGAGGGGAGAGGGAGAGGAGAGGGAGAGGAGAGGGAGAGGAGAGGGAGAGGAGAGGGAGAGGAGAGGGAGAGGAGAGGGAGAGGAGAGGGAGAGGAGAGGGAGAGGAGAGAGGGAGAGAGGGAGAGAGGGAGAGAGGAGAGAGAGAGAAAGGAAGGAGGAGGAGGAGGAGGAGGAGGAGGAGGAGGAGGAGGAGGAGAAAAAGAGGAGGAGAAGTTGGGGAAGGGGAGAGGAGAGGAGAAAGGGAAGAGATATCCTTGTCTCCTGGGAAGTATTATGGTTTTGAACTTGGGAGATATGGTTATGAATCCCACCTCTTCTGGTAAACTAGTCAGATGATCTTGAGAAGTTAAGCTTCATCTTTAAAATAAGGTTATTTTTCTAAGACATTCTTTTATAAACTATAAAGTGCCAGATAACTGCAAAGTTGCTACTTATTATAATATTTCATGTTGAACTCTGCTCCTTTCTCTACTCATTGACCTAACATGTCATTTAGCATCAAGCAGCCCTTTGTTTTGATTAAAGGCTTTAACCAGGCACTGTGTTTAACCTTGACATTAACCACAAGGCTTTCTAGATCCAGGATAAACTAGGGAAAGCACCTGTTCCAAAGATGAGTCATAACTTACATTTCCTCAATCACAATCTTCGGTGCTTTCACATATACTGGAGTCAGTGTAAAGGTATATTTAATATGGAAATTCAATTAGGTGCCCTCAACAACAACAACAAACAAGGAGAGCATGAAGTTCGCTCCCCCGCTCCCCTGCCATTAATGCCAATCTTGTCCTAGGCTGCCCCACAGAAAGGAAGACCAGGGCAGACATCTAAAGAGAAGCAAAAGAAGTAAACTCCTGGTTCCTGGCTTTTGAACCTCCAAGGGCACCCCAGTGATAGACAGCTTATCTAAGGAATTTCAAGGGAATTTTGTTTCTACTTGATTTTTACATCACTTCCCGACTTTAGCACTTAATCTTGTGCACAACAGACTCCACTGTACCTGACATCACCGATACTCTCCACCACACTTTGAGGCCACAAGTGCTAGCACCCACCCAGCTCTGCAGAGTACAAACTGCAGTTCAGAGAAAGTGACTTAACTCAGTTAAGGTCTCTCATCAAGGGAGGTCTCGTGATTGACCCTTCACCCAGCTAAGCCTCTTGCAAATGCCTGCAGAAGCCACAGAAACCATGAGATAACAAGTGTTTGTGGTTGTAAGTTATTCAGTTTTGGAGTAATCTGTTATCCAGCACTAGATCACTAATACTATGCTATTGTGAAATTCCTTCCATGTGATTTTTGGTGTCCATACATACACGTTTCTGTTGAGTACAGGCCTAGGAGTGGAATCCTGGGCTAAAAGATAAGTATGTGTTTGGCTTCACTGGTTGAATGGATTTATTCTCCTACGGGCACTACAGTAAAGAGCTGGATGCATCACATCTTCATCCATTTGTTTATATCTTGCCTTTTTTTCATATTAGTCATCCAGTTGCTTTGAAAGTATATATTTAATAAAAAAGGGAGGCAGCAGCAGAACGTGGGCTGTGAAAGGGCAGAGCAGGCTAGAGGTTGGAGAAGAAATTAGAGTGGAAAAATAAGATTTATATCTGGACTGGGAAGAAGCAAAGAAACAGAAGATAAAATCTCCGGGCAGTGTTCTGGAGACCAGGAAACCAGGCTAGAGACTGGGCCTGGTTTTGCTCACAATGCTAACAGAGGCATTTACGAAGCACTCGCTGTTCTCCAAACATTATGCTCTGAGTTTTGCATGAATAATCTCATTTGATCCTCACATCAACCCAATGAAGTAGGTACCATTATTATCTTCCCTTTACAGAGGAAGCCAATCTGAGATGGACCCTTGTCATGAGTCAGAGATGAAGCCAATTAATTGAGCATACACAGCAAGTAGAGTAGGATCTTCAAACTCTAGAACCCACTCACTTCACCATTATTCTCTACTCCCTGGTCCACCATAATCTTTCAATACCCGATTCTTGAATAAATGCCTTAGCGGAAGCTGAGCGACGCAGCGTCAAGAGTCTAAGCCAGTGATGGCGAACCTATGACACACTGTCAGAGGTGACACGCGAACTCATTTTTTTGGTTGATTTTTCTTTGTTAAATGGCATTTAAATATATAAAATAAATATCAAAAATATAAATCTTTGTTTTACTATGGTTGCAAATATCAAAAAATGTCTATATGTGACACGGCACCAGAGTTAAGTTAGGGTTTTTCAAAATGCTGGCATGCCGAGCTCAAAAGGTTCACCATCACTGGTCTAAGCTAAAGCAAGAAGGAG